GTGTGTGTGTGTGTGTGTGTGTGTGTGTGTGTGTGTGTGTGTGTGTGAAACAGGATGAAATGCCAGAGTCTTTATAGAGATCCAGGAGAAGCAAAACAAACGCTCAACGTCCTTTCGAAGATACGAATTTTGAGCAAATTAAAAAAAGCAAACAAATAAACACCAGCTTGCTCTAGGGCAGATAAAAAAGCGGTACTCAAAGGTGCAGGTGTCAGGGGGCGGGGCTTGTGACTGTTGTGACGCTGTGGGCGGGGCCTGGCTAGCCCTTGGGCCTTTAAAGTCCTGTCCACCGGACTTCGGGTGCCCTGTTGCTGTCGCGCCCCTGCTGGCAGGTGTTCCCCGGTGAGTGCCCTAGGTGAAGGGATGTGGCTGGTCCTCGGGATCCCCCAGGTTCAGGCTTCTGTGACTTGGACTGGGCCGCACAGGCAGACCACGGTGTTTGGGGAGATGGGGGGCTTCGGCTTCTCCGCAGTCGGTCTTGGAGGGCCGGCGTCTGCGACCGTGGCTCCCGGAGACCGGAGACCACGGGGCGCCTTCCGCGGTCCGAGAGGCCCGGGCTGCAGGATGGGGTGGTGGGGCTGGTGACTCCCGGGAGGACGGTCGCCGATGACAGAAGCCGGGTCAGAGCGCGCTGGCTCGCGGTGGTACCTATACAGCCCGGCCACCCCCTGTCACCGCTGTAGGCTTCCCGGGCGCGGGCCCGCTACGTCACTCCGACCCGAGTTACTTTCTGTTTAGGTCCTCTCGGTTCCGAGCAAGTTAGATCCCTGGAGCGTCTTTCCTTGTGCGTCCTAGAGCTACAGGCTGCTGTAGGCAGCCCCGATGACGAAAAGCGTGTCCGTGACCTGCTCTATTACAGAGTATCTCCCGTTGCGTTCTCCCCAACTCGGTACTGATGTCTCCACTCAACACCAATCGACTTTTTTTTCTAACATGACTTCCTTGTTTCTGAGGCAAATCGACAAGGGGCGGTGGATGGAGCTTAGAATAACTTGGGTTGTGGCATAACTTCCCTGATGAACGGGAAACCGAGGTGTTTTTTTGTTGCTGTCGTTTTCAAAAGCCGCCTATATCAGAGGACTTCATTCGCAGTGGTGGTGCATGCCTTTAGTCCCAGGACTTGGGGAGGCAAAGGACGTTATTTGTTAGGTCTTTGTAGGCTTACGTATCATGCGTGAGGAGGGATGCCTGGACAGCTTGTTTTTTCAGGTATTGTCAGGGGTTCTGAAGCTCCAGCTTGTATCACGCAGGACAGCTGCCAGGAAAAAGACCTTGAAAAGGACAGGGATCCCGTGTTACCCAAAACTAACAAGCTACACGCCTCCTCCCCCTGAGACAGGATTTCTCTCTGTAGCCTTGGCTATCCCGGGGCAGGCTGGCCTCGAGCTCACAGCCAACTGCCTGCCTCTGCCTCTCTGAGTGCTGGGTGCTGCACATTCTTGTACATTTGGGCTCCTTTTAAAGAGAAGGGCTGTACTGACGATTCATGGCCAGTCTGGGCTTTAGAGCAGGAGAACGGCCTAAAACCAGTAACCCAACTGACATGAAACTGGCTGTACTTAACTGTTCAGTCACGCTCACCTATTTTCTCAGAAGAAGGCATGGGACGATGAACTCTTCATATTTCACACACACAGGATCTTAAATGTAGCTGAAATGGATCTTAGAGGTTTCTCTAGCCAGATTTCATAACCTTGTTAAGAGGCCTGTTCATGTGCCACCACTATGACCTAGCACAGCGGGACCATCCCTTTCAGCTTTTCTGCTTTGGTTTTGGTTTTGATTTTTTTTTTTTTCCAGAATGGGTTTCTCTCTGCAGACCTCACTATCCCGGAACTGGCTTTGTAGACCAGGCTGGCCTCTCAAACCCCCACCCGCCTCTGCCTCACTAGTGCAGGGATCAGGGGCTTGCACCACCGAGGCCCTAGAAGCTAGCAGTTAAGAGCACTGAGGATGTGGAATCAGTTCCTACCCGGAACTTTAGTTCCAGGGGATCCATCTAGCTGCTCTGGTGGGCACTGGTGCGGTGCGCATATTTGGCACACATATACACAAATTTTGTTGTTTTTTTAAGGATTTATTATTTTTTCATATGTGTGTGTTTACATCCTGTGTGGGCAATGCGTGACGAGGCCGGAAGAGAGGGCTCTCAGTCCCCTGGAATGAACATGCTTATCAGCTGCCAGGGCAGAGCTGGGATCTGAACCTGGGTCGTCGTGCAAGAACAGATATTAGTAACCACTGAGCCCTAAAACTTCTGTTTTGTTTTTCGAGAGGTTTCTCTGTGTAACACTGGGAGCCCTGGAAATACCCCTGCCTAGGACTCAAGCCCCCTGCCTCTGCCTCCCAAGGGCGGTGATTAAAGGCCTGCGCTAACCACTGCCTGGGCCAGCCTGTTTAGCTTTGAACAGGTTCTTCACATGTAGCTCTCCTAGATTGCTCCTGCACTGTAAACCAGGCCGCCTCCTCCAGCATCTTGAATGCTGCTGGCATTTCAGGTGAGAGGCACCACGCCCAGTGTCTGTTTTTCCTGACATGCACCCGCTGGTATGAAAGGTATGAAAGGCTCATGTAGAAGTGTTTGGAACTCCTAAGATCCATCCCCGGAGTTGGCAGGTACGCCCCGATTGAGAAGTAGAATGGCTGTTGCTCCTTGCTTCGGAGTAAGAGCTGTGCTTTTTTGGAACAGTTTTGAGAGTTGTATTATTAAACTTAGAGGCTTATTTGATACTCTGTCAGGTCTCCTTAGGAGCAAAGAGCCCAGTTCCTGGGACTTTTTATGTACTCTTATCTGCATGTACACCTGCATGCCAGAAGAGGAGGGCATCAGATCACATTATAGATGGTTGTGAGCCACCATGTGGTTGCCTGGAACTGAACTCAGGACCTCTGGAAGAGCTCTTAACCACTGAGCCATCTCCCCAGTCCTTTTTTCCTGTTTGTTTGGCTTTTGGAAACAGGGTTTCTCTGTGTAGCCCTAGCTGTCTTGGAACTCACTGTGTACACCAGGCCGGCCTCTAACTCATAGGTACGCCTGCGTCTGCCTCCTGATAGTTTTTGAAACAGAGTAGTTAAGAGAGGAGACTGATGCTTAACTTACTCCAGTCTCCCCACCCCCGCACCCACTGCTGTATCCTTAGGTAATTCCTGGAGCCCATCCCCACCAGGACCTTATCACTCAGGAAGGAAGGTTTTACTTAGGTTTACATGAGTACGTGTGGGTACAAGTGAGATTGTATTCAAGTGAGGTCAGGGTATCTTACAGAAGTCAGTTATCTTCTTCCGGGAGGGCATGGATGGGTTCCAGGGATCGAACTCAGGTTTGTCAAGCGTGGTGGCAAGGACCTCTATCCATCTCGCCAGCCCCCAAAATATGAGGCTTTTAAGGGTCACTTAAAGGGTTTGGTTTGCTTCCATTAATACAGGGTCTCACTTCATCTAGGCTAGCCTCCAACTTGTCCCAATCCCCCTGCTTCAGAGCTCCTGAGTACTGGGATTATAGGTCATCCTGCTCAGTTTAGAATCATTGACCCTAAAAATTAGCAATTTCCCTTCAGGAAAAGGTGAGTGGTGGGTACTTCCTCACCAAGCCAATTAAGAGATTTATTTATGTATACAGTGTTCTGCCTGCGTGTGTGCCTGCACCCCAGGAGAGGGCAATAGATCACATTATAAATGGTTGGGAGCCACCATGTGGTTGCTGGGAATTGAACTCAGGACCTCTGGAAGAGCAGCCAGTGCTCTTAACCTCTGAGCCCTCTCTCCAGCCTCATCACTTTTGATAAGCAAGAAACCAGTTTTTTCTAGACATAATTTTTCAGATGAGGAAAGAGATACAGGACAAACCTCAGCATGGCTCTTGAATGTCATTCGTGGGTGGGCTGTCTTCTCTGTGTTCAGTTTGTGAGCAGTTTGTTTCTTTTAGTAGGAAAGAGACTGGACCAAGCCACCACTATTCTTTATAAAACAGCTTGCCACAGTTTGTGTATAAAAAGCCTGGAATGGGGTATAAATGATTTTTTTGTTTGTTTTGGTTTTTGAGACAGGATTTCTCTGGCTGTCCTGGATTCCTTTAGACTAGGGTGGCCTGGGACAGATCTGCCTCTGCTTCCCTAGTGCTGGGGTTAAAGAAAGCTCCACCACGCATGGCAGTCTGTGATGGGTGTTTTGTTTTTTGTTTTGTTTTGTTCTGTTCTGTTCTGTTTTGTTGGTTTTCTTTTTTGGTTGTTTGAGACGGTTTCTCTGTAGCCTTGGCTGTCCTGGACTTTGTAGACCAGATTCACAGCAATCTACCTGCCTCTGCTGGAATTGTGGGTGTGTGCCACCATAGCTACGGTGTGACCAGAATCCTGCAAGGAAAAAACTCTAATACTATGATAATCCTTAATGTCATCATCATCTAAAATAGTAATGTCATCATTACTATTTTTGGGGTGGTGGGGAACTAGCTCTGTAGTTTGTCATTGAGTTAAATCCCAGCTGAGTCTTCCCCGTAAAGCCCCTTCCGGCTTTTACTTTTTGACAAGTGGCATGCATATATTGTTCATTCATTTCAAAGAGCACTTAGGGCCAGTTACTCTCACTGCATTGTGTACGTGGTGAGGCCTGTGTGTCATAAGGAGGATAAAGGGCACTGAGGTGTCGACTGAGCTGCTGTTTGTCACAATCCCTAGTCAAAGGGAAAATCATTTTGTATGCTCAGATAAAGTGATCCCTTCTGAATTGGGACGGGTAGCATGATGACCTCACCATGACTGGAGACCTCCCAGCCCATCTTAGCATGGATGCCCAGCCTTCATCCTGCAGACAGCAGCTTGTTACAAGGGAAAATAATGGGCCAGAATGTGACTTCCCCCTCGGGAAAACTCTCCTGAGGCATGAGGTTCAGGATGTGGACAGACTCTGGCACAAACCAGAAAAATCAATGAGTTCTTGGCCCCGTGCCCCATAGACTGCTTGGTGTTCCAAAGTCCACTTGGCGTCTTTTTGGGGGAGTGGGGTGGGGGGCAGACAGGACTGGCTTCTGGGAAATTAGAGCCAGGCACGCCTTTAATCTGAGCACTCAGGAGGCAGAAGCAGGTGGATCTCTGACTTCAAAGCCAGCCAGGGCTACATGGTGAGACAGACCTTCCAAGCAAACCAAATAAAAAGCCCTGACTTTGGAGGAGTTTGAAGAGGCTTTAGTTGGATTCACTTCAAAGTAGAACCAAGAAATAAGCTGGCCTTGAACTCAGAGATATGCCTGCCTCTGCCTCGGGAGTGCTGGGATTGCAGGCGCATGTCACCATGCCCAGCTAAAAGGCAGGTTCTCACATATTCTTCCATATCTCCCGACAGGCCCCCACCATGGAAAACACGATGGGTGATCCCCCCATATCAGCTGTCTTGCTGGACCACTGCACTTTCTCTCAGGTCCACTTTAACAGTGTGGAGAAGTTCTATGTCCCTGGAGGAGACGTCATGTGCTATTATGTCTTTACCCCGCAGTTCACCCCTCATCGCAAGGACTGGATCGGCATCTTTAAAGTGAGTTTTAATGGAGCACTGAAGAACCAGTGGCCTTATATCACGTCTGCCCAATTAGAAATTGCAAAGTGCACTCTCTAGGGTTCCCTCATCACACACCAGTGTATACAAGCATCTTTTTTTAATTATGTCTGATGCATACCTTCAATCCCAGTACTCCGGAAGGAAGAGGCAGGAGGAGGATCTCTGAGGTTGAGGCCAGCCTGGTCTACATAGAAGGCTATCTGTCTATGACTCCAGTTTCAGGGGATCTGATGCCTTCTGTGGGCGCTGGGCATGCACAGAGTACATGTATCATGCAGGCAATCCTCCATCCAAGCAGAGCAAGTGACTTGACTGCAAAGTTTTGTTCTCTTAACCCCCTTCTAAAGCTTTCCCTCAGTGCAGCATTAACACAAGTTCAAATGCAGGAGGAAAAAGGTCTCATGTCAACCTCAAACTCACTAGCTGAGGATGGTCTTGAAATTAGCTTTGTAGGTGCATGCTGTGTACATATTCAAGTTTTAACAGTGCTACATTGCCTATTCAGAATCTTTTTTTTTTGTTTTGTTTTGTTTTTTTTTTTTTTTTTGTTTTGTTTTTTGAGACTGTCTCTGACACCAGGCTATCCTTGAAGCCTCCCGAGTGCTGGGATTACAACTGTGCGCCACCACCTGGCTGACCTGTTTTCCAAAGTTTCAGAGCAGGATTAATTAATAAGGAGACAGATGGAGAGAGTCAAGGGTAGACATTGCTGGCTGCTGGACATTGGCCTTGGTCCAAGGCAGCAGTAGTTCTGGGGGTGGGGTGGGGAGTCTTTCCAAGTTTGTTTTCCTTATTTTGTTTTGTTTTTTGGGACAGGGTTTCTCTGTACTCCTTGCTGTCCTGGAACTTGATCTGTAGGCCAAGCTGGTCTCAAACCCAGAGATCCACCTGCCTCTGCCTCTGTCTAGAGTGCTGAACGGCTGTCACCTCAGGCTGAATGACTTTTTAAAAATAATGTTTAATATTTGAGTGGTGGCGCATGCCTATAATCCCAGCACTTGGGAGGCAGAGGCAGGTGGATCTCTTGAGTTCAAGGCCAGCCTGGACCACAAAGAGAGTCTAGGACAGTCAAGGCTACACAGAGAAACCCTGTCTCAAAAAAAAGAAAAGAACTCCAGGATGTGAATGAGAGTTCCTGTCCCACCACTGGCTTCTGTGGCTGAGATGCTGCCAGCAATAAAGTGTGCGTTAATGAGGGTCTAAAAGGCCCTAGGATTTTCTGATGAGCTTGCAGTACCGCTTTTGAGCCCTGCTCTGAGTCCCTTGTACATAAAAAATGGATTTTTGTCTTTCTCCTACTGGGCTCAGACATGGTCAAAATAAATGGTAATTTGGCTTCTTGTTGGTTGAATATTCTCTTGGAGACTCAATGGTTCCCTTTCTATTCTGTCCTTTTATCCTTCAGATAAGATTTGAATTACCAAACCCTGTCTTCACATCTAGTGAGAATTTCTCAGGCATCTCAGGCTGTGTCCTGCGTCACCTGACTTACTGTGCTCAGTACCCAGAAAAGATCATTAAAGCTGCCAGACTTTATTTTCCTTTATCACCAAAAAGCGTTCATTATACACATTAAGAAAACTATGGCCTGGCGTGGTCTCACATGCCCTGTAATCTCAGCACTCATGAGGCGAGAGGATTGCAGCCTTGAGGCCAGCCTGAGCTGTGCATTGAGACCCTGTTCCGTAGTATCCCTAACACACTCCAAAAGAGAGAAAATCCACCGAAGGGTGAGGTTCATAGACGCTGCTCTTTCTTATCTGGTAACCCCCTCAGAACCTTCTGCCACTTTGGCCTCAGCACACACACAGTTTGTCCTGTGCTCCATAGCCTTGGCTGTCCTGGAGCTCATTCAGTAGACTAGTCTGGCCTCCAGCTCCTGGATCTGCTTGCCTGCTTCTGCCTCCTGAGTTCTGGGATTAATGCATGCGCCACCACTACCCGACCTCTTCATAATTTCTTATGGCCTTAAATTTGCCTGTTTTTTTCTCTAGTTCTCTCATCTTTCACTCTCATCTTTCACGCTTCTACGGCTTTGCTATGTAGGTCAGGCTGGCCTCACACTCAAAATCCTTCAGGCCCCCAGGTAGCTGATTATTTATGGGGCAGGCTCCATTATGCCCAGCTCCTCAAAACACTGCATATTTTTGGAGAGTACAATTCCATTTTGTTTGTGATTTGATTTTGTCCTGGAACTCACTGTGTAGCCCAGGCTGGCCTCAAACTCTCAGCAATCCTCTTGATTTAGCTTCTCAAGTACCAGAACTATAGTTCCACAACTGGCTGAGTTAGTTAGAGAGAAAATTTGGAATTCTCTTAATGGGCAGATTTATTTCCTTATTTGAAATTTTGAGATGTTTGTCTACCTTAGTCAATTTTTGGTTGTATTAGATCACTGGTTCTCAACCTTCCTAATGCCACAACCCTTTTATTTTTCCCAAGGCAGGGTTTCTCTGTGTAGCCTGTTCTGGACTAACTTTAGACCAGGTTGGCCTCAAACTCAGAGATCAGCCTTTCTCTGTCTCCCAGAGTGCTGGGATCACAGGCGCGTACCACCACACCCAGCTACCATGGCCCTTGTAATGTAAATATGTTTAATTCATAATGTAAAATATTTAATATTTAATTTGTAATGTAAATATTTTTTGGAGATGGAGGTTTGCCAAAGAGGTCTCAATCCACAAGTTGAGAAATACTATATTAGATATTTTTTGCCATATAATGGCCACAACTCTGGCATGCTGGTCAAATAAGGCTTTTTCCCCCCCAAGACAGGGCTTTTCTCTATACCCTTGGCAAGAACAACAGCCATCATTTCTCTAATCCCGAAAATTTTGGGTTTTTTTTGTTCCAAGACAGGGTTTCTTTGTGCCTTGGCTGTCCTGGACTTTGTAGACCAGGCTGGTCTCCAGCTCTCAGCCATCCACCTGCATCTCTGAGTGCTGGGATTGCAAGGCCTGCACCACTACACCCAGCACAATTAAAGCTTTTTCATCAGGTCCTGTAAGTGCTAAATTAGAGCCCCTCTTCCTTGCAGGTGGGATGGAAGACGACCCGGGAGTATTACACCTTTATGTGGGTTGCTGTACCCGACGACCTAAACAAGGAATCCTCCAAGCAGCAGGAGGTCAAATTTAAAGGTAGGGAAACACTAGGTCAAAGATGCTGAGAACCCTGGCCGCAGTTGAGTTGAGTTTCTGGGACAGTGTTTGTTTGAAATGGTACAGATCTTATGGTGTGTTAAAAATCACATTCCACTTTCAGCCTATTACCTGCCCAAGGATGATGAACATTACCAGTTTTGCTACGTGGATCTAAATGGCGTGGTCCGGGGAGCAAGTATCCCTTTCCAGTTCCGCGCAGAAACGGAGAACGACATAGTGGTTGTTACCACTAAGGTCAGTAGCCATCTCCCCTCGGGCCTTCCAGTAGCACAGCAAACAGGTCCCAGGTTAGGGTGGACTGAGTCAGTAGGCTGTGTGAAATTGCTATAGATAGATAGCATCACTGTTGGAAAAATCATGTGGTATCACTCTAACCTGCTCAGGAATGACTTGGGAATGCTTAAAAGAAGTCAAGACAATACATGATTTCTCCCTTCTGGAACTTCTGCAACTATTCAATTCCTTAGCTGTAACAGGGTTTTTCTGTAGCCCTGGCTGTCCTGGACCAGGCTGGCCTTTGAACTCTGAGATCCACCTGCCTCTGTCGCCCTAAGTGCTGGGATTACTGGCTTGCACAGCTAGCTACCTCACACTATGGTCCAGGTTGGCATAGAATTCAGGACAGTAGTCCTCCTGCCTCAGGCTCTATAGGAATGTGCCACTGTGCCCAGTGTTCCTCATAATTTCTTTTTTATTTTTTATTTTGTTTTTTTGAGACAGGGATTTCCCTGTGTATGTAGCCTTGGCTGTCCAGGAACTCATTCTGTAGACCAGGCTGGCCTTGAACCCACAGATAATCCGCCTGCCTCTGCCTCCCAAGCTTCTGGGATTAGAAGGGTGCAGCCACCACGGCCCAGCCTCCTCATTTCTTCTGGCCTTAAATTTGCTCATCTTTCCCTCCTGGTGAAAGCAGACACGGACACCAACATTCCTTCCTTTCCTCTACACTGCATAGGCTGGAAGTTCCTACTGGAATAAAGCTGCCTTTGTGTTCTGTTCCAGGAGAGGGTGGAAGAGATTGAGCAGCTCAATGA